GGACATTCCAAGAGCAAAAATCTGCTAGTAGTACTATTGAAGTTGTGTAGTGAGCCTAGAACAGTGGGGCAAATCTATAGAGCATGTGTCACAGCAGGGTATTGAAATCTCTAAAAGGTTTGCCATCTCTAGTCTAGAAACATGAATCATAGCGAGAAGTAGACAAATACAGAAGAGAAAATGTAGACAAGTTTTCATGACACCTAGGAATAAGGAACGAAAATAGTGAGGATGTTGATGTACTAAGCTTGAGTTGCTAAGAGGAAGAGGTACGGTAAAAAGAAGCAAAGAAATTGGAGTTCCACGTTAGTGCTGATAGCAAATTCTCAGTACCTAGGTAGCTTAAACATCAGAAATTTATATTTTTCAAGATTCTGTAGTCTGTCAGAGTACAGTGCTGGCCATTTGCGTTTCTGGTGACTGTGCCCCGCCTGCACATGGACACTTTGTCCTCGTGTCCTTCTGTGGCACAAAGAGCCAGTGAGCTCTGCTGGCTCTCCTTACAAGCATCCCGAGTCTCCAGTAATCTTTGTGTCCAGTGTAGAGTCAGTTCCTTCCTTCGGGCTGACTGTATTCGGACTGTATTTTGAGATCGCCCCTCTTGGAAGTAACTTATGCTAAACTAGGACTTGAAGATTAAAGGAAGTTTGATAGCATAGAGTTTGAGGAAAGGGAGAGCACAATTTAGCCCATCTCACTGAAAAGAACAAAGACGTTGAATTATTTGGGGTATGTGGGATATGTTGAGTATGATATGAACAATGCGGAATTTGGTGGAGATCTGGGATGGAAGGTGGCAAAGAGAAGATCTTATAGGAAAGATTTGTAACCCATCAGCAGTGGAGTCAGAGCTGAGGGTGGTAGATGAATTTCCTGAGGAAGAAACCATGGATCAGTAGCAGAGTAAGGATCAAGAAAGCAAGGAGCGAGCCACATGTAAAATCCCACAAAAGGGAAAGAGGAATAAATAAAAATAAAATGAACTGTCAGAGGGATACAAAGAGGATCAGGAAAATAAAATGGCGTCAAGGCAGAAAAGAAGGTAGTGAGGAAATAAATGATCCACACTGCCAAGTTCAGTAAGAAAGGTCTGGGGAAAGCACATCATCATAAAGCTCTTGGTTTGTAAATTATGAAATCATACTGACTTTTGAGGAAGCAGCCTCAGTAAAGTGATCAGAAAGAGACAGATAGAAAACATTACAGAAAAGCGGGACGAGGGTGGTAGGAAGGAGATGTTTAGAATTTAAATAGGGAGTTGGATTAGCAAATGCAATAAGGCACCACTGAATGTAACCTTTCATGTAACGTCTGTGTGTCTTCTGCTCTCTCTTAATTCAGCTTATGTTTTGCGAATTCAGATTTTCCTTAGAAAGCTGGCAAGGACCTATTCTTAGTAGGATGATCTTGCTAAACTTACGTGACCTCCACTGGCTATATTGTCTGCTATTTGGGACAAAAGAAAAAATGAATCATTTTTCAGTTTTAATATAATTAGACAAAGAGTCTTCGTGAGCTTTCGTGAGAACACTCATCTTGCCAGTTTTAAGAATTACTGCACAATCGAAGGGCAAAATGTTTTGGGTTGGGGAGAAATGATAGGAATTGAGGTGCCTGATACACTAATTAGCTTGATACGATAATTCCACATTGTACACTATAGCATACCATTACTTTGTATCCCATAAATACAAGGGGTGATCAACATAGATGGCGAATGTTTCCATTTTAAGAAAATGTTTACAGTAAGAGATGTATTGCCATTAATCTCTCTCAAAATAGATCTCCTTGGTTTAGCACACTTACCCCAGGATTCTAGCCACTTGCTGAAGCACTTCTGGAGGTCCTCTTGGCAAGGTGTCTTTATAAGGTGATCAAAAATATGGTGAGTGTCGCTGCTGAGTGCCCTCTAACAGAAAGGTGGGCTTGCAAAAACATCGCAGTATATTGTCCTTCACTTTATTCACTGCACCTGGCACCGTGCAACTTCTGGCTCTTCCCCAAAGGCAAAATGACCATGAAGGTGAATGTTTTGAATTATTTCAGGAGGCCAAACAGCCGCTATATTCAGGAAAGAGACTTCCAGAACTGTTTCAGAAGGAGTCAAGAACAATGGGTTGAGGGTGTTCCAAGCAATGGAGAGCATTTTGAGGGGAATTAATGACAATATGTGCTTTACTGTAATAATTTTTTTAAATTTGAACATTCACTGTATCTTTAAATCATACCTGATACTTATAATCATCATTTGTCAATATCCAGTACAATTTAAAAAAACTTAATAATGATGCTGCCAATTATCAAATTGCTTAACTTTGTTTCATTTTATAAACATTACTCACATAAACTGGGTGGTTGGTAAGCAGGAGGCTATGACTCAGTTACTGTGGCCAGCCCTAGGCATTAATGTGTTCTAAAGCTTTCCAGATAGTTTTCCTGTGTGCCCAGAGTTGAGATCCATTGATTTACAGATCTGTTGTTCTGTGGTTGTGATATTGCCAAAGAGTGTTGGACCTTAGGTGATAGCAGAATTATTGGTGCTCTCTCTAAATTTGGGGTTGCTCTCTGATCAGGCATTCTTTGGGTGACTTCTGCGGGTGCTCTGCTCAACTCTAGAGATACTAAGATAGCTATTATGAATAATTCTAACATCATAATAAGGTTTTTTAATGCAATACAGATATAATTTTACAGATGGAACATGGCTGTGCCTCTGGTTATCTGCTTTCAATTTAGAACGTGTTTTTAATTTCCGATGAGTCACCTCTCTTGTGGAATACTCACTTTGACTTGTATTAGTTGGCGAAGTTGGGATAGTAGTTAATTCCAGAGTTCTTTTAATCAAAAGAGGAGGAAAATTTGATGCGTAATAACTTTATGTGGAGCCCAATGGTTTATCTACCTTTAATAGGTCCTATATGTGGTCCTACTTACATTCTGAGCATTGGATAGAAATAATGCCACCCACTGGAGTCTATCCCGAGGCACAGTTTCTCTCATATGAGAAACCCAAATTGTACATAAGGAGCAAAATGAAAGGTAAGCAATGAGAAGTAGTCAGATAGATCTCAAATGGGAAAGGGATCAAGAAATGAAGAGGGGGGAGGAAAGGGGATGAAGAAAAGAATGAAGATGTGTTACGTGCATGCACCAACTACACACAAGGAATGGAAATGTTATATGTTGCAAATGTGTACTAATAAAAAGAAGAAGAAATACAGGAGCCAAAAATGGCACCAAGGCCTGTTTTACAGCACGGGGTTATTGAAGGTATCTGTGTGAAGTAAGTGACAGAGCAACCTTAAAAGGCTGAAGGGGGCACGAGGCCAGCTTAGCTACTTGAAGTTCACTGGGAGAAATAGAGATGGATTCTTAAAGTACTGAAACCCTGTTTAGTATCTGCCTAATTACACTGCTTTTGAAAACCCCTAGGGAAGACAACACACACAGCCAACAAATTTGTACTTTATGGCCCTTGGTCTACGTAGGTAAGGGAGAGATCATTTGGCTTTGGGAAAATGGAACAAAACAATGGATTTGGAAGGAAATGGGGATTGACTAGCTGGGATTAGGTAAATTCCCAATATATATTGGTTGAATGGATGAAACGAGAGAGAAACATGCTTGGAAACTAGTTTGGGGTGGAGCAGAGATTTGTGTCTGAGAATTGTTGCTGTATTGCATCGATTGTCAATGTATTAAATTATTAAATTATAGATGTGCTTTTTTTAGCTAGGAAAGGTTTTTCACCACTGATATCATGACTGCCGAAGGGAGGAAAAGGCAAAGGAGCTTGTCATCAGGAGGATGAAAGGGGTTTCTTTTGCTTACTGTATTCCCCAAGTCCTGTGACAGCCCCTGCATCCTTACAGAAGTGAACCTAAAATGCTGAGAGGAGCCGGGCCTTGCAAAACTCATCTGCATTTTGTTTGCACCAGGAAGAACCCCACCTCCGTCAGTTGACTTACTAACTGGAACGTGGGACGTTTCTCTCTTGTCGTCTGTATCAGTGCTGGCTCCAGTGCCTTCACTTCCACCCTGAGCCACGTTGGGAGATAGGATGTGCCTTTGATGAACTTTTGCTTGTAAATTTTACTTTAGATTCTTTATGCACACAGTGATCAGTCCCGAACTTGAAGGTTTTGAAGTGCTTCTGATGCTTCACCTTATAGCCTTATTCATGTTTGATTTCCCTAACATAAAATCCACCTATTGAAAGTGTACAGCTGGGCTGGGGATTTAGCTCAGTGGTTCTGCCACCTGCCTCGAAAGTGCAAGGTCCTGAGTTCAGTCCCCATACCCCACACACACAAAAAAAGAGAAGAAAGTGCACAGCTTAGTTAATTTTAGTAAATTTGTAAGGATGCACAGCCAGTGATAAAATCCATTTTGGCCGTTCTCAGCCTTCAGCAACTGCTGATCTGTTTTCTGCAGTTGCAGTTTTTTGTCCCCTTTTTCAGAAACTTTATATGATTGGAGTTGGAATATTTGATACTTATTTTTAATTTAAAAACTAAATTTAACTTACTGAAATAATTAAAACCCACAGACACTAGGTAGATTTTGCATTTCAGTATAAACAGCATGATAAAAAGTTTCTTAATCGGGTACTAAGACTAATTCATTACAGGCTTTACTTACTTTATTGAATTGCAACTTACATGTTCCTTGTTTGATACCTTGCTCAGTTTTGAGCCATGCATGGCATATTACCTTTTCAAGATGTGTGGATCGATATCCTTTCCATCTTTAGGCTTTATTCTGGAATCTGTATTGTGATGACACTTTCTAGAACTATGAGTTTTAATGTGTGTGCAAAGAGAAAGAAAACAGACACCTAACGAGTATTTGTGGATAATGAGGTGGCTAAAGATGGATCAAAGATATATACTGAGCTCTCAGGAAAGGGGTTTATATCAGAGGTTTCAGGGTGTACAGAACTAACGGATCGCACACATATTTGAGTGGAACTTGGCTCTTGGTGCATTTTTGTTTAACAGGAGAAGCATGAAGCATGTTCTAGTGAGGAATAAAGCTCTGCAGTGGAGCCGGGCCTACGTGTTGCCAGAGTTCCCCTACGACGTCAGATGCGCTCTAGCAGAGCGGAAGGGCCCGGATCACAGCATGAGGATACGGATCATAGAGTTTCTGCAGGCTGACATGACCAAGTATCTCGAAGGCTCGCTGTGAGTAGTAACAGGCAGATGGGCTGCTTCGGGGTCGGGTCGGTTTTCAAGGAAGAGTAGAATTCCTTTGGAATCAAGTTTCCTCAGATGTTGCATGACGAACTGGATATCAGTGCGACGCACCCAGCAGGTCAGGGTCTGCTCTATTACAGAGAAGGGTGTGGGGAAACTGAGTACAGTGTAGACCTCTCTTGCATCAGGACTGTGCAAGATGAAAGGCGTCGTCCTTGTTGTGGTGCACAGGTACCCCACCGCCCAGCAGTACAATGACGTGGTCAACGCCCTTCTGCAGGCCCACCCCTTCCTGGACGAGGACGGCTGTGGCTTCGTAAGTGACTTAACACCCCTACCGCTGCTAATCTCAGCCCGTCTTAAAATGTGAGCTTTATTTGTCCCTCTGGGCTCTGAGCTTTCCCCTTTCTTTCTGTTTCAGCTTCTCGCTTTCTGTCAGTTACTACTTCTTACAGGTCTTTCTTCCTTTCTCTTTGTGACCCTTTCTGTGTCTCTCGCTGCCCTGTGTTCCTGAGTCTCCTCTGGCTTTCTGGCTTCATCTTTCTGTCCCTTTCTCAAAGCAGATTGGGAACGCCTCAGTAACAAGGCGTCCCCAGGAAGGAAGGGGAAAGAAGATGTGCCACGCGGAGGAGGAGTCCTGGACTGCACCTGCATCAGAAGTGGAACTGGTGGTGGCAGCCATCGGGGTGGGGCCTTGCTCCTGCCTCTCCCTGCCTCTCTGAGCAAAGTGGATCCCAGGGTCCTCTGGACAGCGGCTCCGAGCTCAGGAGCCCAGGTGGAACTGAGGAGCCCGGAGATTCTGATTCCCTTGGTCTAAGGATGGGTTCCTGGCGTTAGTGTATTCAAAAGTGCTCAGGACGAGTTAGCTGTTCTCATAAACTCAGCTGTGTGAGCCTCGTGTCTCCTGGGTTGAAAAGCCTGGGGTCCTTGCTGTACAGCGGTGGGGAGGAACCTGATGCTACTGAAATACGCAGTTACAGACCCTTGCGATTATAATAACAGGTTGAGTGTGTTTGACTCTAGAAGTTTATGATTTGAGGGATGATTGTGGGGGATCTAAGGAACAATTACTCACTTGTACATAAAGATACACAATTACCCCTGTATCTCTGTAGGCCATACGCATGCACATCAGTACTCCTAGCTAAATAAGATAGATGTAGGCCACTATCTCAGATAGCTATCAGAAAATATTTTGTTACACTATCCTGAAGATAAGGAATTTAAGCACTCAACTCCAATATGAACCAAAAACATAAATATCAGTAAATCTAAACACATTTAAGGCCTCTGCTTACTTTCATGTTTGCTGCCTCCTCCTCTTTCCCTCCTTTTTTCCCTCTCCCCTCCCCTCTCCCTCTCCTCCTCCTCCTCTTCCTCCTCCTCCTTCTTCTTCTTCCTCCCCCCCTTTTCCTTTCTTTTTCCCTTTCATATTTTTAGGGAACATTCATAATATGTGGATAGAGTCATAGAAATTTTTGAATCCTAGCATCTTAAAGGTATTGTTTACCATATATAATTAGAAAAGGTGTTGCAAACCATGTCTAGAAATAATAACTATTGAAGCCAAGATTAGAATTCAGGTATTCTCATTCTCACAATGACATCTTTTCTTTTCTTTTTTTTTCTTTCCTTTTTGTTTTGGTACTGGGTCTCAAACTCAGGACCTTTCACTTTCAAGGCAGGAGGTGCCAGAACCACTGAGCTAAATCCCCAGCCCATAATGACATCTTTTCTAAAATATGCTGCTACATGAAAAGCACACTGCAGCCTACACCAGATGTACTGTAAAATGAAACAATCCAACAGAGCAGCAACAAAAAAACGTGGGATCCCCAAACTGTAGTCATGCCAGTACGGTGGACAAATGTCAGTATTTCTTTCACAGTGAAGACAAAATATCTGCCATCTAATAAGGGTGACTATGTATAGGGTAACAGCGAGTGGTTTGTATCCATGGATTAGGTATCTGTCTTAGCCACTTTCCCATCCCGGATCAAAATACCCAACACCCACAACTTAAGGGAGGAGACGCTTATTTTGGTTCCTGGTTTTGGTCCATGGTTGGCCAGCTCCAAGGCAGAAAGTGGATGGCAGAGGAACATCACAGAGGAAAAAACCTCTCAACACTTCCTGGCAGCCAGGAATCAGAGAGAGCAGGAACAGTGGAGATAAGGGTACACTCCTTTGGAACAATCCCCAGGACCCGCCTTGGATCAGGCCCCGCTTCCTAACGGCACAGGCAGCTACAGCTCCCACTGCCCAACCACCCTGCAAACTCATGAGACTTTGGGGGTTCGCTTACTGCAACAGTACCCTTAGCTCCAACCTGAGGATGCCATGCCGTGCTGTATAGTTAGGCCTGTGGCAGTTTTCTCTGTACATGGCACATACACTTTTTAAATCATTATTCCCTGAACAATACAATCTAACAATTATTTGCTTAGCATTTACATTGCCATTAGTGTCATAATAACACAGAGATGATTTAAAGATGAAAGGAAGGTGTGCATGGGTTACAGGCAGATAACAGGGCACTTTGCAGAAGGAACTGGAGCACCTGTGGGTTTTGGTACCAACCAGGGCCCTGGCATCAACCCTCCATGGATATGAAGGGACAGATATGGTTGAGTGTTTTTAAAAATAATTAAAATTGGGCCGTGGCTTTAGATCAGTGGCATAGCACCTGCCTCACAAGCACAAGGTCTTGAGTTTGCTCCCTGATACTTAAGTAATAATAATAATTTTATGTTTGAAAAAAATTATACATTTACCTTTCTCAGAATGCAAAAGCTACAAAAACAATACAAATAGAGAATTTCCCACTCCTGTTCAACAGCTACCTAATTTTCCTCCCCAGAAATAATCAGTGCTGTTAAAGAATTTTTCCGGCAAACTCACATATGTATGACAGGGCGTCTCTACCTTGTCATGTCTTGACATTTAGTTTTATGGCTATCAAAATGAGCCACAGACAAAGTAACAAATGTGTGCTTTGTTCCTGTGTGCATTTCACCTGCATCTGTGCCAGGGGCATTAACTAAAGAGGATGGACTGATGAGAATGCGGAATGGCACAGCAGGTTGTGGTCCATGCACACACTGTGGACTTCCTTAGCAGGAGCAGAAACTAGTGCCTGGCTGGATGTTTACCCAAATTCTCCCTGAACCAGTGTGTGGGGTTGGCCTCCCAATGTTACATTGGAAGATGCAGAAAATTTCTGAGTGCATTGATATGTGTGTTGGGGGGGAGTGGGAGAGACAGAGACAGACAGGGAGAGGGACGGGGGAGGAATTGTGTAGTTGTGGAAATGAGCATTTGGCTACCTTAGGACTAATTTTGCTTTCTACTTTTTTTTAATTTTGAAAAACATCAAGGTTTTCTTCTTGGTGCTGGATGAGTTTGTGGTGGATGCTGTTGTGTGTGTGCAGTGCATTTTCCAACACCCCTGGGGCCCCTTAGGTGTGGCACCCCTTGCGTCCCAATCGTGACAATCAAACATCACCGGGTGTCTCCTGGGAAAGAGGAGCCGGTCCTATCACTATGCCAGTTGAGAATCACTAGTCTAGACCCAGTAGGCATGAACATTTGGCTACGTTTGATCTTGTCTTGGCTGAGCATTTAAAAGCACAATGCAGATATCATCTCTAAATACCTTCACATATGTCTTAAAAGGATAGGGACAATCAGTAGAACCACAATACAATTTTTGTACTTAGAAATGCCATCGGCAATAATTGTACAATCTTACCTATACTCCATAGTCATTGTTTTCTAATTATTAAGCGGTTTCTTTAAATAGATTTTTTTGGTTGTAAAACTTAATCAGATGGTGCACTACCTTTGGCTTTTCTTGTGCTTTAATTTCTTTTTGTCAAGGCTAGCGTCTCTGCTTGGTTTTGTTTTCCTGATACTTGGCGGTCAAGTCTCATCTATTTGTCACATAAGGTGGTCCACATTCCATATTCTCTGAATGCCCCCTCACGACTCCATCTGTGCTGAAAATTCCAGGAGAAGATCTACTCGTAGTCCCATGGTTTGCTTTATCTGTCACGACAGGAGGCTCATAATTTCAGGGCTGATTTTATTATTGCAGATCGATTAAGAGATGTGTTTCCCATGTAGTGCTTTCCATACCTCCTCTGGATGGAAAAGTGTGGGAAAGGGGATGAGTATTCTATAGTATTAATATTTTCTGCTGAGCCTCTCTACCAAAGGCATTTGTGGGAGTAACTCACAGTGCCAGGCATGAGCAGGTGCTCAGCAAACACTCATTGATCGAACACTCATGCAGGAGATTATCTTTGATTGGTTCTTTCTCTGGTCCTGGTCATTTAATAAGAAGAGATGGGAGAGGTTAGGAAGAAGAAATTGGCAGTTTAACAATGTCCTAGCAGTTGATTGCTGTAACACCTCCCATGAGGTTCTGAAGGCTTAGAGGCCCTTTGGAGCTGTAGGAAGTATGAGAAACAAATGTATCTGCACTAGTTCCTACTTTGGGGCTAAGAAAAATATAAACTGTCCACCATCTATTATTTCATTGTGGTGGTAATGCGGCTCGGACCCATTTACATCTTGGGGCTTAACCAGTGCTGAAGCCGGACCCAGCTTCAACACCAGGCCCCAGTGTTTTATGCACAGCACTTTGGTTTATAAATAACTTCCATGAGTGGCTACTCAACTGACTCTTAAAGTCCTAGTGCAGTTGACAGGAAAGGTCTTAATGTTCCATTTTCATAATTGAAGAAATTAAGGCTAAGCAGGGTTATTGTTGAAGGTTACTTGAGTAACACGAGCTAGAGTCAGCGCTAGACCCTGGGTCCTCCTGACGCAGGCCATGGTACCTTCTGAAGGACAAGGATTAGGATTACTGGGACTCAAGTAACAAAATTAGGCAGAATCTCAGTGCCAGACTCTTGACCGATGTTATCTCAGCGGTGTTCCTATTTGCTCATGAGAAAATAGAGATCATTTCTCTGATTCTGTTTCCTTAGCTATAATTTTGGGATTTTAAATTGGTCTGGCAATGTCTCAAGATTGTTCTAAGAATAAACTGATCAACAGATACACAATTTCTATTACGATAATGTGAAAATAATTTCAAGCCCAAGAAAGATAAAGATTTTATTGTTTATATAGGATTAATGCAATCTTCTTAAAGATTAACCTGCCTGCTGTGTTATTTCATGCAGTTTTCATGGAAAAGAGCACTCAAAGATCGCTTTAAATATGTTCGAAGACCGATAGAAGATGATGAACAAGTTATGAGAAATAAGTACAAATTTGGACACCGAAGAGGCCAGACAAGAAAATCTCTTGCTGATTCAAGATTTGATGAAATTAAAACTGTCCAAATAAAAGTAAGGTTCCCTCTTTCGATGTTATGAGACTTTGATAGATGATTGATTGATTGATTAAGGGGTAATAAAATGTGCCACTTAGGATCATGACAACAGAATAAGACACCTCTTTAAAATTCTGAAGTGTGGTCAAGAACTGATACAATCAATGGCTCACATGGCTAAAGATGCAAGTGATATTTCCAAAAATAGTTTGAGGCAGGAAAGTCACTAAATATCTCATGGTCATTTTTTCCACAGAGTTCAAAGGCCTGGCAAAACCCTTACGATCTGAGTCCTTGAAGGATGGCACTTTCTCTCTTTCTACAGCACACCCTGAGTTCTTGATGCACCGACTGCTACCAGAAGTGTTCAGTGTGCTGCAGGGGTCAGGTGGCCTCTGGTCTCAAGGTCTCAGGGAGCCAGTAACCCGCATGCAGAGTTGCAGAGCACCATGTTGGCCTCACCCACCTGCTGGACCATAAAAGGCTGTGGGGAGCTTCTGACTGGGCCTCAGACAAAGCCTGAAGATTTTAACAGGGAGGCTAATTCGCTGCTGCTATCCTGTAACTGGTCCCAAACCGTAATCATCCTCAGGAACAAATCCCCCTGCTAATAAAGCTCCTTGGGAGAGCAAAACTACCAAGTGTAGACGATAACTCCCTGTCTTCCCAATTCTATTTTTTACCTTAATCCACATGAATAAGCAAACCATAAATATTCACATTTACATTCATGAATGGACTTGATGTAAATATTCTAGTTCTTTTTTCAGCCAGTATGTTTATTTGATATTAATAGAGCAGAGTATTTGGCAGCCTAAATTTTTTTAGTACCAGCCACAGGCTTCGGAAGACAGGCATATTTTTAGCATGTTTTATAAGCCATTCATCCCAGCATCATGCATAATCCAAAATTTTGAATGGGTGTGTACTTTACATGTCTCATTATAATTTTCAATGATACCTTCAAATGATAGACTAGTTAAGATAACATGATTCTATATCTGTTCTTTGAAAAAGACATAAGACAGCCAAAAAGTGCCCTAAATTTAGTGGTCTGAGTGTTTAGAAACTTTGGTTGCAAAATTTCAATAATGAATTAAAAATCACTATGAGATAGAATTATATTTGTTTTAACGTATTGCTCATATTCTTAAGAAGTCACTTTGGAAAGGTGCATAATTGTGTATAAATTCACTTTTCTGAAATTTGATTTTTCAGTGCACTTTGTAAATGAGCACTAGAAGTCAGGGTCCATCCATTAAACTAGAGGTCATTGTGAAGGACATGAGACTAAATCGAAGTTCTTGTCTTTTATTGTTGCATTGTCTTCGGAATCATTTGGTGCACTCTTTGTTTCTTCTCGAAACACTTAACTCTGTGAGGAACCGCAGACTCTGTGTCTCTCCCCATCCCTCCAGTATGCCTCCAAAGCGAGATGAATCTTCGGAGGCCCATACGGGGCCTTGGCTTCAAAAAGAGCAGGAAACCAAATATGTCAGAGTTAGGCATTGAGTTGCAATAAAGTTTAGATCCATTGTGATTTCACCCTTTTCATTCCTTACTGCATGGATTTGAGTCTATATATATAAATATATAAATTTAAATTATTGGGTAAGGGTTTGTCACTGACTTTTTTCACCTTCCTGGCCGCTTGGCTGAAAAAGAAATTTTGCCCGTTGTTCACATCAGGACGTAACATTTTTCCCGGCAAACAAATCTAATAGGAAGGCCTTGCTTTTCTGTCTCTTATAAACAGAGCTCCAAGTTGCTGATTTTTTAATGTTGGTAACCTCCTTGTTTGTGATCTTGAGTTCTGCAAAGCCAAAGGCTATAGAGGATGGAGGAAAATGTACAATGGGCTATTACACCAACAATGTGTTTCTGTTCTTTGTAACCTCTTTGGTGATGGAACAAATGTACAACCACTAAGGGGGCTTCCACATGTTGGGTTTGTCTCATAGAACTTTGTCTTTAAACTCATTGCCCAAGTTATTTTCAACCCCCATTTTGACTTTCTGGTAGCTCCTTGAATATATTTAAGATTTCTGAAAAATCAAAGATTTTTGGATAAAATACCTTTCGGTAATTGTCACATCTTTTAAATTCCTTGCCTGGGCACAATATTTCCCAGAAAAATAATTATTTTGTGTACTGCAGAGATGGAAAGCGTCAACACAGCCAAGAAACACCAGTCTCTCCATGAATGCAAAACCAGGTAAGCAGATTTGAGTAACTGGGGAGAGATCTTGTGAAGCAAGTTGGCGAGGTTTTTACTCTTTTGCTTTGGTTTGTTTCCACTGTTCTTTTCCTCTGCGGGGAAGAATTAAAGGTAGATGTCTCAAGGAAAGAGGTGGATGTCTTTGTCTTGTTCCATGAGCTTCCACAGATATCCTGAGCTGCTAACAGGGTTTGTGCGGCTCTCGCAGAGGCCAAAGGTCTTTTGTCCCTAACCTCCTACCTTCCACAGTCTCTTGCTGGTTGAGCTCTGCTTGAACTACATTCTCTCTGGCTACAAAACTAAAAGCACCAGCAGTGCCAAGGCTCCACCCGGGCCTCAGGTATGCCTTGTGCTTCTCATTGCAGTGCTAAAAAGACTTTCACCATCTTACATGGCTGAATAGACTTGTCAGAGTCCTAAACTATGTCTCCAGATCCATCCCTCAAAATGCCAGCTGTTTTGCAATATTTAAAAATGTCCTTTCAACTTCCAGACCCATGTTGCTGCCTGTAGGTTCCTGTGATCAATGCACGACAGTATGGTCTCTTCCTGTGCATCTGAGTTTTATGTTAAAAAGAAACAAACTAAAACAAGAAAAAGGCCTCACACAGGGCAGTGATGACATGCCACGAGTAAGCAATAGGTACGCTTAATTTATGTCTAAATAATTTGTATCCCCATGGGTTGATAAAACTGTTTCCTTTCCTTGTCTTTTACTGTATGTGTTTATGAAGAGATATAATTAGATTCTCCAAACAAGTAGGTTTAAGCCCAGTCATTTTATAAGTTGCTGACTTGTTGGAATGATGAAAACACTGGATTTAAAAGCTCGTCAGAATTGTGTGGAACAGCAACATACTGGGTTGGGCTTCACATTGGAGTAAATTTTGTAAAACATCTCAGGTGCTAAAGAGAAGTGAAACAAACTCCCAACTTCATGGCATACTTTGGTTGCTCTGGGCTAAATGTTTCTCTTGCTTTATTTATTCCTTTTTATCCTGTTCCTATCTGCCTTTCCCCTTGCTCTGCTCATGGGTAGCCCCTCACTTGTGTTTCATCTATTTCCCTTTGTTTGCAAGTGCTCTGAAGCACCCATTGTCCTTCTGAGGGTTGTAAATGTTTGGTTTAAAGTAAATGGTATTGTGTACCTCATGACGCTTGCCTTTTTTATTTTTTTGTTGTTTTTACTAAAACTCTTCAGATTCATTCATGTTGTTATTTGCATTGCTGGTCCGTGGAGTCTCCCCACAGTAGTGTCTCTTACTCAAGCAGGCTCTGTCCTCCACACTCCAAGCCACGTTGCAGAGATCCATTATGCGGATTTGATGGTGGGGCTGTGAGTTACTCCTTTGATGGCACATCCTGTAGTAGGACTGATGGGGCACGGGCAGGCACATATTTAATTTGAGAAATTCCTCTCCAGCGTGACTTTGCTGGCCTCCTTCCCACAGCACTGTAGTCCCTGTCTTCCGGCCACCCTTGGCATGGCGTGTCTTGCGAATCTCGCCAAGTCTCATGGTATAAAGTGTAATTTTCACTCCTCATTTCCCTGGATAACTGAAGACTCTAAGCATTGCTTCATATGTTTTTTAATGTTTTGAGCTTCTTCTAGAAAATTACTTCTTTATATTTATTGCCCATTTTTTAATGAGTTGGCATCTTTTTCTTGTTAATTTGTAGGAAGCAATTTTCCACGTGTCCTGAGTCACAAAGATACTCTTTATTCTAAGTTTATAATTTTAGTTTTCATGTTTAGATTTCTGTCTTAGTCACTTTACTCTTGACATTGAGACAAAATACCTGACACCCAAAGTTAAAGGAGGAAAGGTTTACTTAGCTCACAGACTGCAGAGGTTTCAGTCCATAATCGCTGGCTCCAAAGCAGGACATCATGGCAGAGGGGCAATAGTTTATGACAGCAGAAGCACAGCAAAGGCAATGAGAAAAAAACACAGCTCTCTCTCTCTCTCCTGTACATCTTATCCAGGCTACTTAGGGCAGGTTCACTCACACCTTATTCGTAGTGCCCTTGAGCCTAGCATTGCACCATGAATTAATTACACACTCTAGATGCAGCCACCTCTGAAAAAGTCCCACCTATGACTGCATGAGGCTTTGGGCTGGCAACCAAACACAAGCCATAACATTCCACATCCCTTTATGCAAAAGGCATTTTGTCCATCTCTCAGAGTTGCAAAAATTTCAGCACTGCTGAAAAGTCCAAGTGCAAAGTCTCCTCTGAGATTTAAAGCAAACTCTCGGCTGCAAGCCCTTGTACAAATGAAAGAAAGTTAAACACTTTCAATATTCAACAGCACAAGATAGACATTTGCATTCCAAACGTTACAAATGGGACACAAATAAAGAGAACAAAGCAAGACCAAACTCCATCTGGGCAAACATTGAATCCCACAGTTCCACTTCCAGCATCCTCAGCAATCCGTGGCAAGCTGTGGTCTCCAAAGGGCTTGGATGGCTTTGCCCCTGTGGCCCTCCTGGTGATTGTAGCTCCCATGGCTTCTCTCTGGGGACAGTGCTGTTCCCTCCTTGCAGTTTTCCTCAAACATCCATGGTCCTGGCTTCTCCAAACTTCTGGTGTCTCCACTGCACCTTCGGCTTCGTACCTATACACCTTCACACACTGCCCACTTGGGCCCACTGCCTGGCCTCCCAGGTCTTCTCAAATCTGAGTGGAAGCCTCCCTGACCCCACAACTCTTGCATTCCAAATGTATCTAAAACCATCACAGTGTGGGTGATGCCCAGGTCTGCTGCCAGCTTGAGCAGTAGCCAGGCTTCCTTTCTCTCTTGGTTGTAGGAATCCCCCTCCTATGAACCAAATCCTGAGGAACAATTTGCCTAAGGCCACTGCCATTCTGGAACATGGTGCTCTGGGGTGCTCTTCTCAAAGCAAAGTCTTTGACTTTTGCAACTTTGAGCCTACAAAGAGTGGAGTTCTGCTGCTTCTTATGATGCCCTCAGGCCACCTTTCCTATATTCCTGTTCCTTCTCAGAAATTAAGCAAAATCCAATAATATGTTGTATACAAAAAACACACCTAGTGCAAAAAGAAGCCCATAGCCTGAAAGTGAAAAGATAGAAAACAATTCTCCATGTGACAGGAGCCCAGAAAAAAACAGGGGTAGCAATCTTATTTGCAGACAAAGTAAATTTCAAACCAAAACTGAATCTAGTACTATTGATGTAGGACAGTACTGTATCATACCTCAATGAATGTAAAATATCTAGTACCTGCTCTATGATGCATAGTAGGGACCGTGCTTTATCAGAGCTACATTTAATGATATTACTCTAGAATGTTCTCTTTCCAGATAATGATTAAGAGGCTAATAGAAAAAATGGTGCCAGGTACCACAACAGCAACAGAACTTTGCTGTTGTCTGGATATTATTCTTTT